AAGATGACCTTAAAACTAAGCTAATATAAACACAAATATATGACCAAAGAGAACAAAACAATAGGGAAGGAATTAGTGAATAAGTAGTTTGAGATAGAATCTATCTTTGGTATGGAAGGTAGGTTTAATTTAGACCTTGAGTTCACATTTTAAAAATAATTTAATAAGTTATGTATAAAGGAAAAATTTTAATGTCAGAAAAAAACAACTTATTGAAGCCCTAACCCTGATACCTGTGAAAGTGATTGTACATGGATATAAGGTCTTTACAGATGTAGTAAGTGGAGACCTAATCCAGTTATAAAAAAAGAACAGGAAGAGACAGATACACAGGGAGAATGCAATGTGAAGATGGAGGCCAGAGATTGGAGTGATACATCTATAAGCCAGGGAATGTCAAAGATTTATGGCTGTTACTAGAAGGTAAGAGAAGGCCATGGAATGGATTCTTCCTCAGAAGGAACCAACCATGACAACTTTGATTTTAGATCTCAAAGTTCTAAAGCTGTGAACAAATAGATTTCTGTCATTTTAAGTCACCCAGTTTTGTGGTACTTTGTTACAGTAGCCTGAGAAAACTACTACACAGGGGAACCTTCAATCATGTATTATCTGTTGTTTTTAATTACTTTTTAAGAATATATATATTATAAAGATCATCAAAAGGGCTTATCATTCATCCAATGTGAATTCCTTCATGGCGAATGAGGTCAGAGCGACTACCAAAGGTCTTTCCACATTCCTTACAGTCATAGGGTTTCTCACCAGTGTGAACTCTTTGATGTCTAGTAAGGTTTGAACCTTTATTAAAGGCCTTCCCACATTCACTACATTCATAAGGTTTTTCATCTGTATGGATTCTCTGATGCTGAATAAGTTCTGAGCTCTGAATAAAGGCCTTTCCACAGTCTTTACATTTATAGAGTTTCTTGCCAGCATGAATTCTGTGATGGTTAGTAAGTGTTGAGGCACTACTAAAGGCCTTCCCACACTCCTTACATTCATAAGGTTTCTCACCAGTATGCATTCTCTGATGTTGTATAAGCCTTGAGTGCTGAGTAAAGGCCTTCCCACATTCCTTACATTCATAAGGTTTCTCACCAGTATGAATTCTCAGATGTGGAAAAAGTTGTGAGCTCTTAGTAAAGGCTTTTCCACATACTTTACATTCATAAGGTTTCTCACCAGTGTGAATTCTCTGATGATCATTAAGGTTTGAGCAATAATGAAAGGCTTTTCCACATTCCTTACACTTATAGGGTTTTTCACCAGTGTGAATCCTCTGGTGTTGAGAAAAATATGAACTACAACTAAAAGCCTTGCCACATTCCTTACATTCATAGGGTTTTTCACCAGTGTGAATCCTCTGATGTCGAGTAACAAGTGAACCACGACGAAAGGACTTCCCACACTCCTTACATTCATAGTTTTTTTCAGCAGAATGAA